ATCTCATGTTAAACGGAATAATTCAGCTTTGGATTTTTCTAACCATAGAAGGATTTAACCACCTTTTAAAAGCTGGATTAAGATCATATAAAACCAGCTACTTGTACACAAGTATCCTAAATTATCCAGCTTTAATCAAATATACCATATAAAAATTTCAATTAAAGAAACAGCGGCCATCATTCGTGATTCATTTCTGATGTCTCTATCCAACTCCATCGAACTATCTACTCCTGGTACAAAACTAAGCTAAATCATACCACAGTCATCTGAGTTTTAAGCAGAATCATTCACCATTATTTACGATAAAATAGGAGGGAGGAAGACACAAATTTTGGCATGAAATACAAATTTTGTATTCTATAGTCAACTGCTGTCTGATAAACAAGATCCATGTGCCTCAATTTTCTCATTTATAAAAGGGGGGAAATTTATTCTAGTAAAGGATTCTCCTAAACTGCAAACTACACCCTCTTCACTTTTCCAGCCAATTCTCAGGTAGTGTTTGAGATCCCTTTCTGCTGTTTCCTTTCCTTCTGTTATTGGCATATCAACATGCATGAGACATACACGTACACACACACATACACACACACAAACACACACCCCCACAAGAGGCATTCCTCTTCCCTTTCCTTTCACCTTCCACTGCAGATGCTCCTTCATCTTCTTTTGCTTCACCAGGTCTAATGTCCTGACTTGTAGTTGGTGGCTCCCTTTCTTGAGGTTGCTTATCACCGTGGGCCTACACATATGTGTGTGTAAATTAAAAAGGTCAGTTACTAACACATGCCAACAATACAAATATACACAATACAGAGATACATTTGACTGTCAGTAAATCAAAACATATTTCTCCAATACTATTGGGTATAATTTTTCTTCATAAACTTACTTTTCCCATGGTGATGCTACTCCAAGGAAAGTTACTAGCACTTTGGAAGCTATTTTAATCTATGTTGGGAGGGATGTGTGTGATCAGTTGTTAATAAGCATGAGAAGGAAGGCATCAGTTACATTCCCAGGGAATATAACAGCATCCATCCAGGCAACACCAGAACATCATCCATCTAGATTAGCGTTCTGTATCACACAGAAAAACTTTCAAGGTGTATCTGTATTAGTTCCACAACTTTTCACAAAAAATAGTTTCTACTAATGAAAAACATCAAATGTTTTATTTATTTATTAATGGAGGTAATAGGGATTTACCCAGGACATTGTACATGTTAAGCACACACTCTACCACTGAGCTATACCACTCACTCCCCACCAAAAAAACCAATTGTTAAAACACTTACAACCACAGGCCCAACTGGATTGACAAATGCTTGATCATAACTTCTTTTCCTAGGTCTGTATGTTGACTTTACTCTCCGAAAGATATTTCCCACTGAAAATAAAATATTGTGCTTTGGAAAATGCATTTAAGAGGATAATTATATCTGAACACTTCCATGGCCAAATGGTGATGCACACTAATTTTTGAATTTTGAAAATAAGTCTCAAGGTAATTTAATTGTGTGTGCTTTGCAATCACACCACATCTGGCAACTTGCAAAAGCAATAGTTTATGTCATGCCCAAGCTGACAGAAAAATCACCATAAGGCACATGGGAAAAGACAAGAACACGTTTCTGAAAGGGTTGGGTTTCACAATGTGATTCACCATTATGGAGATATTTAAGAAAATACCACTACAGTAAATGGCTATTTATCAAAAAGTGGAAAGACAGCAAGTATTGGGGAGGATGTGGAAAAAGGAAACCCTTGCCCACTGTTGCTGGGAATGTAAATTGCTACAACCACTGTGGAAACAGTAGAGGTGTCTCAAAAAAATACAAATAGAACTACCATAATGCCTTAGCAATTCCACTCCTGAGTATCTATTGAAAAGAAAGAAAACCACTAATTCAAGAAGATACGTGCACCCCAATGTTCATACCAGCAATACTTACAACTGCCAAAATATGGAAGCTACCTCAATGTTATCGACAGACAAAGGGATAAAGAAGATGTGGTGTATGTATATATATATAGACAATGGAATACTACTCATCAATAAAAAATGAAATAATGTCATATGCAGCAACATAGATGGCCCAGGAGAATGTCATTCCAAGTGAAGTAAGCCAGAAACAGAAAGAAGAATATAATATGATATCACTGATATGTGGAATCTTTTTAAAATGACATAAATGAGCTTATTTACAAAACAAAAACAGACTCACAGACATAGAAAACAAACATATGGTTACCACGGGGAAAGGCGAGGTGGAGGGATAAACTGGGAGTTCCGGATTTGCAGATAGTAACTACTATATGTAAATAAAACAGGTAAACAAGGTCCTACTGTACAGCACAGGGAACTATACTCAATACTTTGTAATAGCCTATAATGAAAACATATGAAAACGTATATACATAATTGAATAACTATATTTATACCAGAAATTAGCACAACATTGCAAATCGACTACATTTCAATTAAAAAAATTAAAGCTATATAAGGTCCAAACATCCTGTATGCAACATTCCACAAATGAAATGCATTTAGAAAAATGTACCAAAATTAATACCAAAATTATTTATGAATATCAGCAAATACACTGTCTAGCAGTGAGCATAAAGGTAATGGGGTAGAAAGAAATGAACCGACATTGTTGTAAGTTACAATCTGGAATCCTTTAAGAGTGGCCTGAGTTATAGAAATGTTTTGTTTCAAAATACTAGATGTCCAAGAAAAATAATTTGTCTCATGTTACTCTTAGAATAATTGACCTGTGGATTTTTCCTACCATAAAGGATATGACAACCATTTAAAAGGTGCATTAAAGTCATATAAAACCAGCTACTTGTATGCAAGTATCCTAAATTATCCAGCTTTTATCAAACTTACCATATAAAAATTTCAATTAAAGAGACAGGAGCCATCACTCATGCCTCATTTCGGAACTCTCTATCATACACCATTAACTATCAACTCTTGCACCAAAACTGAGCTAAATTATACTACAGACATTTGAGTTATAAACAAACTCATTCAACTTTTTTTTTTCAGGAAAACAGGTGGCAAGAAGACACAAACTTTGGCATGAAATACAACTGCTCTCTGATAAAAACAATCCGTGTGCCTCAGTTTTCTCATTTATAAAGGGGGGGGGCAATTTATTTTAGTGAAGGATTATCCTAAGCTGCAAACTACACTCTTTTCACTTTTCCAGTCAGTTCTCCAGCAGTGTATGAGATCCCTTCTGCTGTTTTCTTTCCTTCTGTTATTGGCATAACAACATGCATGAGACATATGCATACACACACACACACAAACACACCCCCCCACAAGAGGCATTCCTCTTCCCCTTCCCTTCACCTTCCACTGCAGATGCTTCTTCATCTTCTTTTGCTTCACCAGGTCTAATGTCCTGACTTGTAGTTGGTGGCTCCCATTCTTGAGGTTGCTTATCACCGTGGGCCTACACATATTTGTGTGTAAATTAAAGTTTTGTTACTAACACATGCCAACAATATAAATATACACAATACACAGATATATTTACTATCAGTAAATCAAAATATATTTCTCCAATACTATTGGGTATAATTTTTCTTCATAAACTTAGTTTTCCCATGGTGATGCTACTCCAAGGAATGTTACTAGCATTTTGGAAGCTATTTTAATCTATGTTGGGAGGGATGTGTGCAATCGGTTGTTAATAAGCATGAGAAGGAAGTCATCAGTTATATTCCCTGGGAATATAACAGCATTCATCTAGGCAACACCAGAACATCATCCATCTAGATCTGCGTTCTGTATCACGTAGAAAAACTTTCAAGGTGTATCTGTATTAGTTCCACAACTTTTCACAAAAATTAATTTCTACTAATAAAAAACATCAAATGTTTTATTTATTTATTAATGGAGGTAATAGGGATTTACCCAGGACATTGTACATGTTAAGCACACACTCTACCACTGAGCTATACCACTCCTGCCCCCAAAATAACCAATTGTCAAAACACTTACAATCACAGGCCCAACTGGATTGACAAATGCTTGATCATAACTTCTTTTCCTAGGTCTGTATGTTGACTTTACTCTCCGAAAGATATTTCCCACTGAAAATAAAATATTGTGCTTTGGAAAATACATTTAAGAGGATAACTATATTTGAATACTTCTGTGGCCAACAGGTGATGCACACTAATTTTTGAAATTGGAAAATAAGTCTCAAGGTAATTTAATTGTGTGTGCTTTCCAATCACACCACATCTGGCAATTTGCAAAGCAATAGTTTATGTCATGCCCAAGCTGACAGAAAAATCACCATAAGACACATGGGAAAACACAAGAACACGTTTCTGAAAGGGTTGGGTTTCACGTGATTCACCATCATGGAGATATTTAAGAAAATACTACTAGAGAAAATGGCTATTAACCAAAAGTCAGAAGACAACATGTCTTGGAGAAGATGTGGAAAAAAGGAAACTCTTTTCAACTGTTGCTGGGAATGTAAATTGCTGCAGCCACTGTGGAAACTGTAGAGGTGTCTTAAAAAATATACACACACAGACACACAGTGGAATACTACTCAGCATTAAGAAATGAAATAATGTCATATGCAGCAACACAGATGGCCCTGGAGAATGTCATTCCAAGTGAAGTAAGCCAGAAAGAGGAAAAAAATACCATACAATATCACTTTTATACGGAATCTTAAAAAATAACACAAATGTGCTTATTTACAAAACAGAAACTGACTCACAGACATAGAAAACAAACATGATTTCCATGGGGAAAGACGAGGTGGAGGGATACACTGGGAGTTCTGGATTTGCAGACAGTAACTACTATATATAAAAGAAATAGATGAACAAGGTCCTAATGTGTAGCACAAGCAAATATATTCAATGTTTGTAACAGTCTTTAACTAAAAAATATGAAAATTTATATACGTAACTATATTCATCACTAGGCTTTACACCACAAATTAACACAACTTTGCAAATCGATTACACTTCAATTAAAAAGAAAAACTAACGCTATATTTAGGTCCAAAGGTCCTGTATGCAACATTCCACAAATGACACCCATGTAGAAGAAAGTACCAAAATTAGTACCAAAATTATTTATGAATAACAGAAAATATACTGTCTAGCAGTGAGCATAAAGGAAATCAGGTAGAAAGAAATGAACTGGCATTGTTGTGAGTTACAGTCTGGAATCCTTTAACAGTGGCAGGAATTATGTAAATATTTTGTTTCAAAATACTAGGTATCCAGGAAAAATAATTTATCTCACGGTAATCTTAAAATAATTCATCTTTTGATTTTTCTGGCCATAGAAGTATATACCCACCTTTTAAAAGCTGCATTAATTTCATATAAAAGCAGCTACTTGTATGCCAGTATCCTGAATTACCCAGCTTTTATCTAATTTACCATTTAAAACTATCAATTAACAGTGGCCATCATTCATGATTCATTTCTGAAGTCTCCATCCTACCCCACTGACCTATCAACTCTTGGGCCAAAACGGAGCTAAATTATAGTACACACATTTGAGTTTTAAGCAAAATCATTCACCTTTTTTTTACACTGACATAGGTTGCAGGAAGACACAAACTTTGGAATGAAATACGAATTTTGTCATCAATAATCAAGTGCTCTCTAATAAACATGATCCCTGAGCTTCACTTTTTGAATTTAAACAATGGGTAAATTTATTCTAGTGAAGGATTGCCTGAAGCTGCAAACTACACTCTCTTCCATTTTCCAGCCAATTCTCAGGCAGTGTTTGAGATACATTTCTGCTGTTTTCTTTTTTTCTCTTACTGGCATATCATTATGTATGAGAAATACACATACACAAACACATACACACACACACACACACACACACACACAAACACAGCCAAGAGGCATTCCTTTTCCGTTTCCCTTCACCTTGAAATGAAGATGCTCCTTCATCCTTTTCCTCTTCACCAGGTCTAATGTCCTGACTTGTAGTTGGTGGCTCCGATTCTTCAGGTTGCTTATCACCGTGGGCCTACACACATGTGTGTGCAAATAAAAAGTTTTGTTACCATTACATGTCAACGAAATAAATATACAGAATACAGAGATATATTTGACTATAAGCAAATCTAATATTACTTCTTCAATACTAGTTGGTATACTTACTTTTAATAAACTTACTTTTCCAACACAGACACTAGTCTAAGAAAAGTTACAAGGATTTTGGAAGCTATTTTACCCAATGATGGGATACATGTGTGCAATTGGTTATTAATAAAAATGAGTGGGAAGTCATCACTTCTACTCCCAGGGAATATAACAGCATCCATCAAGACAACACCAGAATATCATTCTCCTGGATCAACATTCTGTATCACACAGAAGAACTTTCAAAGTGCATCTGTATTAGTTGAACATCTTTTCACAAAAAATTATTTCTACTAATAAAAAACATCAAATGTTCATTCATTTATTCATGGAAGTACTGGGGATTGAACCCAGGACATTGTACATATTAATCACCCACTCTACCACTGAGCTGTATCCCTCCCCCACCAAAAAAAAAGTGTTAAAACACTTACAACCACAGGCTCAACAGGATTGTCACATTCTTCATCATAACCTCTTTCCTTACATTTGTACGTTGACTTTATGTTCCAACTCATGTTTCCCACTGAAAATAAAATATTGTGATTTGGAAAATGCATTTAGTAGAATAAATATACTTGAACACCTCTGTGCCCAAATGGTGATGTACACTGATTCTTGAATATTGAAAATAGTTTGAAAATAAATCTCAAAGTAATTTTATTCTGTGTGCTTTCCAATCACACAAAATGTGGAAACTTGCAAAAGCAATTGTTTATGTCATGCCCAAGCTGACAGGAAAATCAACATAAGGCATCTGGGAAGAGAAGAGCACATTTCTGAAACAGTTTCCTTTCACAAGTTGATATACCATCACAGAGATATTTATGAACATATCACTAGAGAAAACGGCTATTATCAAAAAGTCAAAAGACAACATGATTGGGGAGGATGTGGAAAAAAGGAAACCCTTGCCCACTGTGGTTAGGAATGTAAATTGCTGCATCCACTGTGGAAAACGTAGAGGTGTCTCAAAAAACTAAAAATAGAACTACGACAATGACTTAGCAATTCGAATCCTGAATATCTATCCAAAAGAAATAAAAACACTATTTCAAAAAGACACATGCACCAAAATGTTCATACCAATACTATTTACAACTGCCAAGATATGGAAGCAAGCTAAATGTCCATCAACAGACAAAGGGATAAAGAAGATATTGGTATACACACACACAAACACACACACACATACACAATGCAATACTACTCAGACATGAAGAAGAATGAAACTTTGCCATTTGCAGTAATATAGATGGGCTTGCACATGTTACGATAAGTGAAATAAGTTAAACAACGATGGGTAAATGCTGTATGACATCGCTTCTATGTGGAAACTAGAAAATAGAACTAGTCAATATTAAAAAAAAAGCAGATTCACTGAAATAGAGAAAAAATACTGGTGGCTAGTGGGGAGAAGGAATGGAAGAGGGGCAATGTACAGGGGGAAGAGTAAGAGCTACAAATTATTAGGTATAAAATAAGCTACAAGGACATATTGTACAACACGAGGAATACAGCCAATACTCTATAATAACTTTAAATACACTATAAATTTTAAAAATATGATTCATTATATTTTACACCTATCACTTAGCTAATACTGTGCATCCCATATGCTTAAATTAAAAGAAAGAGAAATTACTACTAGAGAATTAATACTTCAGTAACTACCATTTTTGGCACACTTTCATTTATTAAGCCCTTTCTAGATCCCCCTCAATCACATTTTATTGGAACACAAAGCCACACTTCTTTCACAAACTGTATCCGGCTATTTTTGCACTAAAA